TCTTTATTTAAGTGAATTAGTGATGAATCACCCTCATGCATGAATTATACATCAATAATAGCCTACTTTTATGCATGATACATGATGATGAAGATAAAAATAGAAATACATGCAAAAGTAGACTATTGTCAATATTTTAAACCCCCAAAAATTTTACAACTGTGTTGTGTTTTTTTCAGGGGAATCTTTTCTGTTTCTGATTTCATCTTCTGTTTGATTTAGAAAGTCTTAGTATCCTAACATTGCTCTTACACCTAAATTACATTAACTTTTTTTTATATTAGCTTCTATTATGCACTCAGGTCTCCATTACTGACAATACAATGTACAATGGGCAATAAAAACTGCCCATTCTGTTCGGTGCAGATAAAACTAAAACTGTCCATTAGGCTTTCAGTTAAAATTAACCAGTTTTCAGCCTCCTCTCCTATGACTATAGACTTACTTCAAATAACCTGTTAAAAATCTATGATTTCAATCTACATCACAACAAGGCAATATCCAACAGTACATCTTAGAGATAGATAGAAATATCCCCAAGATTGGATCTCTCCTGTTCTTCGCTGACCTAAAAAACTGCAAAATGCACTGAAACCTCTGGCTGAAACAACCCGGTAGAGATCTTCTGTTCACACAAATCTAATTATTGGATTCATGTAAAAGCGTTCATTGATTATAAAATCTTTAGGCCCACATGGGGTAACTTGGGGTGCCTGTCAATCAAAAGTAAATAGTTGGGATCTCGTTAGAGATCAGAAACTGACTCATTAAACTCGACACACATTTATCCAGCGCAGTCTACAACCTACTGCACCTTTACTCTCAGCTGCAGTCTCACACTTCCTTACATCTCCTGTGGACTGCGCTGAGGTCGCCTGCTGATCTTACTTCCCCTGACATGAGCACTTGGCTTAGACACAAACACTATCTTGTGGAGTTATCTATGTGTGATTTATCTTTTTATTATCCAGGTTTTATTTTTTTTATGACCTTTAATTCCTGTAAAACCCTACCTTTTTGTCAAGAAATACATTTTATGTACCTTGAGAGGCCACAAATGTTTTTTCAAAAATGTCTTGATTTATCTGTAAGTAAGATAAAGTATTTACCTTTATTATTATCATATATTATTTATCTACATTTTTTTTAATAGTAATTCTTGACGTTTTGTTGATTATTCAGGTTGTTGGGCCTGATGATATGTTTGGTTGTGTGGTTTTTGGTTGGTGTGTGTGTGTTCATTGTATTGTTTGTATAAATAAATAAAAAAAACTTCTGAAAAGAAGCTTAAAAATTTTAAGAACGGGGATGCTATACCTGCCTGAAGTCTTTTCCAAGAGGTCAGAAATGAAGAATATGTAAAGCTCAACTTCGTTTTTTGTTGTTTTAATAGAAAACCAAAGAAGAACAGAGATTAAACAGCGCATGTATGCATACAGTCCCTTTTTGCACAACGTAATCACCCACTAAAAATAAATGTGCATCAAAAGAAAATACAGCAATCTTATAAATATAGGGCCCCAAATCACCTCAAAAACATATACCAAATGCACCAAATGTAAGGAGATGTTGGTTTAATATATTTGCACAAATATTCTGACATTAAGTAATATGTGTACCCCGTGATCAGTGCCTTTTACTGGGAAGGTTTGCACTTCATTTTAGGCCATACAATTGCCTAATATACATGCATTTCACTATTATTGCCTTTGTTATTCAAAAATTATTTTCTCTTTTTTTTTATCGTATCTATTTCTAGAAAATAAGTCTTGAGTTGTTCATGTTTATATATCTATTTCCTACTTTCTTTGATCACAAACATCACAAATAGTTTGACTCTTTATGCTACAACACTCCAGTATACTTACTTACAGGGATCGTCGCACCATTAATGTTTCACTTGGCATTGCAATCATGATGAGGGGAAGGACAAACATTTTGACCTCTAGGAAAAGGGAGGAGTCTGACATTGGCTACCTCTGTGCTGTGCTACTCGAGGACAGAGGAGGGAGGGGGACGCACGCAGCAGTTGGGCCGTCTGACATTTTGCAGCATTGACCTGAAAATGTTCTGCTGCCTCCTTTTGTTCTTCCTGCCACGTTGCGGCGAGTCGACACCAGAGACTGACTTTCGCAAGGAGGTCCGGACTATCAGTTTCCTCTCTTGCTCCTTGATTTTGCACTGCAAGTGGCTCTGAATGGCAAAACCAAGGGATTCTGGGTCCACAGAAGCACCGTAGACCTCCCAAGTCATCCCTTGTTCATCCCAGACGACATCATGGACGCTCTTTCCTTTCTCCTTCTCTGACTGGTCATCCTCTTCTTCCTTTCTCTCCGGCTCTATCTTCTTTTTGCCGGACTTTGTCTCCTTTGTCTTGGCTTTACCTCCAGCTTTAGCCTTTGCTTTAGGACTTCCAGCTTTATTTTTAGTTAGCCCTAACTTTGATGTAATGTTTGTTGCTGTTGTTGTTGGCAGGGCCTGGCTGGGCTTGGTTGTAACAGCAGCCTGAGACAGTGCAGCTTTGCTGCTGTCAGCAGATCCAGACTTGGTAGCACCGGCTGTCTCTGGGGGTGTTCCTGATTTGAGAGAGGGAGCTTCAGTAGCGGTTGTTTTCACTGCAGATGTCTGACCTCCCGTTTTATATTGGGAGTTACCTGTCTCTCCTTGGTCCTTGTGGTTGCTGTGTTCAATGTTGATTTGATAAACTGGCTGAATGTTGCAGAGAGCTGACCCGGGGTCTTTAGGCTTTGCTCCTAGCCTTTTGTCCTGCTCATGGGACAAAGTTTCTGACTGGAAAACCATGCCGGCATTTTTGTTGGGGCACATCTCCGCCTCAACAGTGAGTCTCTCTGACCTCGGATCAGTAGAGGCGGATAGAGGGCTTATGTTCATTTGATGGAGTCCCACACCGCCGTCAACCTGGTAGACTACAGCCAGGCTCTGCGCCTCCTCCTTCTGGACTGCACCACCACTCGGACTGCAAGGCACAGCGAAAGGCAACAGGCTCGGACTTGTCGCCACAGCCTTACTGCACGTGTTAGCCACCGCTTGAACCTCCATATCATGGCACTGCTTGACTGGGGTATTTGACAGGGATAAGGTCATTGTCGAAGCCTCCCTGTACAGCTTGCAATGCTGCTGCTGCTGCTGCTGCTGTCCTTCAAAGGCAGCTGTGTCAGTCTGGCTGACTTCCTCAGCCACCTGCCCATATGCCTCCATGTTTTGCATAGCCTGGGGCAGAGTAGAGGAGTCCGTCTGTGAAGACACTGGCTGATGTTTATCTGAGGAGACTTGAGGTTTCTTTACTGGTGACAAATCCTTCTCTGGATGTGTTGAACTTGAATTGTTATTTGTAAACCCGGCCTCTGCTTCTTTACTCATAGGTGGAGGTGTAGTGGAGCTAAGTGGAGCAGCAGCAGTAGTTTCCATGCTTTGTTTAGGTTTGGGTGTCTCTTGCAGACTGACATTGCTTTGTGAGCAGCTACGTATATGATCAGGCTCTTGAGATTTCTGTAGTACGGCAGTGTCCTTGTTTGTGGGAGCTGAAGTACTCCCTTTATTACCGTGTTGTGGTTCAGCTGCTGTAAGCCTTAATTCACAGGTGTTTTTAAGAGTTTTATCATTTGGAGAAAGATTTTTATTTCTGTCCTCTCGTGCTGTGGCTTTGACTGAAGATGTAATCTGTGCACACTCTCCCTCTGCTGCACTTGGGCCTTTTATTCTGCAGTCATTGGTCTGCATGTCAACCTTTGACGCTGAAAGAGCAGGCGGCACAGTGGCCTTACAGATATCCTTTTCTTCAGCCAGGCTTAACATTTTCACATTAGCGTTTGAATCCCTCTGGAGACCTCCTGCCTCACCCACACCGTGGCCTGTTAGAGACAGGTCGGGCATCTGTTGGTCTCCACCTGTCACAACCTCTGATTTTGTCTGGTTTCCATTAGTTGGTGCTGGTTTTTCTGACACAGCGCTGCTAACTGGTTTACCTCCCTTGGAGGCTGTTTTTTGAGTATGTGGGATGGTGTTAGCCGGAGAAGCAGTCAGAGATAAGTTATCCTGTTTGTGGTCAGGAGATGTGAGGGCGGGGTTTGGACAAACCTGAGAGAGTTTGAGGTTGGGCTCTTTAGCCCAGTTGGCATTAGGCTCCTTATTGCCCAGCGTGTCCACCACAGCCAGCTGAGGCACCATCTGGACTGTCACTGTCCTTTTTGGGTTAGTTCCCATGCTGGATTCACTGTTTCAGTCTTTAAATATTGCCGTAATCCAAAGATGAAAACAGATGCACAATACCAGTCAGTTTGTGCAATTTCCTAAGGGAGGAAAATAAAAACAGATATAGTTTGTTTTTAATAATAGAGCTTCATTTTGTATCAACTTAATCTTGATTTATACCAAAATAATGAAACCAGACTCATGGAGTCAGGAGTCCAGGCCTAGATGAGCATTATGTAAATTGAATCTATAATTCCAGGTAGTTTCTTTGCAAAGTCATTAACATGCATTAAAAAAAATCTGTGTTAGAATAAAGGCAGAGCAACAGAACAATCAATGACCCGCATTTGCCTAATGTAACCACTGCTTTGAATTAAGATTGATACATGTGATTCCAAATCACTGTATCACTGTAATGTGGAGTGTAGACGACTACATGTTTTGCTTGTGATAAGACACTATAGAAATAAATAAACCTACACTTAAAACAAGTAAAATTCAAATTGCTTGATCAACTTTTACAAATAAATAATTAATAACTGGGAGTAATCCCTAAAGAGTGCTGTGTCAGAGTCACTGAAGTAAAGCAAAGTTTACAAACTTGGAAGCGAAGTAGCAAAGTACAGAAGTCAGACTTTGACATATGTAGGCTGGAAGGGCTTAAAGATAAAACATGTTTTTGATTAAGAATCGTGGATGTTCCACATTCAGTGGAGTTTCATTGGACCCAACAGTCTTGTCTGGTTCCTAATTTATGTGTTTGCTTGGCAGTAGCATCCAATTTTCATCTGAAGTTACCATAAATATCCAGAATAATCAGTGTTACAGAGTACGGAGGGGGCTCACCCCTGTGATCTTGTTTTATCAGTTCAATTGAATGTTCATCGCTGTGTTTTATTATAAATGGCACACTTTATAGCAGTGTTACTCTAAATCAGTGATCAATCTTTGAAATTGTTTGAACAATTTTAGTTTAAGAGAATCTTTTTTAAAAAGTAACCCTGCAAGATGCCAAAAACAATCACAATAATCTTAACTATAACTACCTTTTTCTGTGACTGCACTTCTAATGACAGAAACCCGAAAAGGTTTGAAAGCCAAAAACGTGTATGTGTCTTCAGATCCTCTTTTGTCTTGCAATCAATCTAGTATAAATTCTAGTCACTGACCTACAGTTTCACAAATGTCTTCATCCTGGGCCTGATGAATGACTCTATCACAGCCTGTCTCCTAAAAGTGTAAAAGCATCTGGGCCAAAGCAATGTGCCAGCACTCAGCAGACATCTAAGATATCTGACCCTTTGGAGTCAGACAAATGAATTGCACTGTGATCAAGACTTCAATCATACAAAACAGCCTATAGGCTGGAAGAACCCACCGGTTGATTGATTTCAGTGATCCACAGAGAGCAAGTTGGCCATTTCCATTTCAGCGACATTACTGATGATAACCCATTCTGCATAATGTGCAGTTCATCTCAATGAAACTATTGTTAAACCCAGCATTGTCTTCTGAGTTATTCACAAGCATCATCACATGTCTCCACATTGCCCCTCTTTGGGAGGGACAACAACAAACATAATAAATTGTTTTCCATTCAGGCCACATTTATGTCTAGATCACTCACAAATAAAAAATAATCCTTCCTGTCAGTCTTATTTTAAATGATTAATCATTTATCTCTAAGTGCACTGGTGACCTGAACCAATCATTTTAAGTATGACTTGAATAAAACAGAATAGTAGGCTACTGTTTTGGGTCATGGGCAGGTGCAGCCCATTTGTGTGTGCTCTCCCACTATGGATCTGCGTGTCTGTTGTCAAAGTGCAAATATTTATGGAAAGCATATCCTGACTGCAATTAGACATTCAACAATTAAAAACGCCCTGGTGTCTGTGCTTTATGTTTCCCTGCAGCAGTTTAGAAAAATAACATAAAGAGTGCATGCAGAATGTGAAATCATGCCCAGCCGCAAAAACATTACATACATTAAAGTGCTGCACGCAGTGTCTTCGGGCCAATTAAGATCTATGTCATGTACTGTAGCCTACATTTGCAGTCCTGTCCCACCCGAACATCTCAGAGGCCACTGATATTTGCTGATTTGATATGACCTTGCGGACAAATTGAACATCTGACACGAAGGAAAACACAGTCTAATGAAAATGGGAAGGATGGCTTACCTTGAGAGGTGCTTTATGTCCCGTTCCTGGGTGCCGTTGGCGCGTTCGTGTCAGTGAGGAGAGGCTAAACCCTGGAAATGAATATGGAAAATCAACCCTGTGTCGGTGACACCAAGCCACGCCTTCCACCAGAATATGGGTCTTAGAGGTATCGATCCTCCTCAGAAAAGCGCAAAATTCAAGCACCCTGACTGACTGACCGTGCGCAATGAGTCACCGCTGTCCGACCGATGGATGCTCTCCTCTGAGCTCTCTACTATCGTTGCCTCATGCCAAGAAAAAGTGGACCTTTCACAAAATGGACCTCTCATGGTGTGTGCTATCCCAGACTGAAGTGGTCCAGCGCAGGCAACGTGGTGCAGCAGAGTAAACCAGATGAATGGATGAATGGAGGGGGGATGGAGGCAGTGCTGTATCAGCCGCAGGCATCCAGAGGAGCCTCACTTGCCCATGTGATTGATCACTTTCAGATTTATGATCATGTGTCTGTTAAGGCAGCCTGTGATATTCCTAGAGGATATGTCGTTTTTATTTTGCTGTGCCTTTCTGTGTCATTCAGGAATGGATTTATGAGAAGACCTGTGTGTTGTTTACAGTGTGTCTGTCTGAAGGGGTGCATGAAGGAAGATCATTTATAGAATAAGGTACCTTTACATTCCTCTGTGGTTTGAAGGGGTCTGATATAAATTCACATTTATAATCTGGTTTCATGAAGTATCATTCTTTCTCAAAGATGCAGCTATTTCAGTTTAGCTGCACTTTCATGTGATTTCTGATCAATTCAGAGAATAAATATTTGGAATTCTCCTCCTCTCTCTTTCACAACAGAACATTTTCTATAAAAAGGTGTTTTGTGGACAAAAAAGGTTGCAATGATCAATATAATCAAATTGTGCTTTAACAGATAAAATGATAAACATCAGTAATTCCATTCATGAAATGTAAATTTAAATGAATACTTTCCATTAAAACATTTTTACCACTGCAGAGAAAGTGTGTATTTTCTTTTTGTGTTTTTACTTATTGTTACATGTGGACAGTGTGAACTGGTGGCTCCAACACTGGAGTTCACAAGATAAATCTGAGTGGTTCAAAGGTTGTTTAAGAAGATACGGTAGCCATAGAAGTACAAACTCAGGGAAAGATGTGATACTGACCTTGGTATTCTCTGCCAGTAGGAGTCCTTCAGTGTGTATCATTCAGGATTTTTAGCTGAATTATCCACAGAGGTCTCCTCCTCTCTAAACGAACAGACCCCTGATTTATTTTTTAATGATTTATAGTTTATTGTCTTTTTTACGATAAACAGAACATTTGGAAGTATTACAGCCACAGATGTCAGACCCACTGATTAAAACTTGTAAAACACTGATTAAAGCAGTTTCACCTTAAAAATCAGTGTCGGACGTCCTGTCAGCCGAGCTGCAGCTAACTTTTGCTCAGCCTGTTACTCTGATAATTTAAGATATCCAGATGATGAGTGAAATCCTTAATCTGGTTAAAAGATAGTTTAAAACGACAAATACGTAGTGTATTGTAAAAAAATTGGCTTTAAACTGGATACAAAAAGTCAATTTATGACAGACACTGACATCAACCGGTGACACACATCATGTCAGCCCTTACCAACCCAGGCCACCCCATAGACACGCTCCTGTTTAGGTGAACAAGAGAGACACACCTTCTTACCTAACCTGTGGTGCTGCAACAAATAATTGTGTGCCATGTCTGTCAGTGTTGTTATAACTAATTTAATACCAGCATTATAAGCTACTTACTACCTCAACCTAGGCTAATGTCTCAGACTTTTATTATAATCTAAGTGGTTACTTTGGGAATTCAGTTTTCAAATATAGGAGCTCCTCCTGTAAAAGCAGTAATTGTATGGGATAGACCTCCTGCCTCTAAAAGCCCAGAGGGGCTGATTAGGTGAGAAGGTAGGCCTCGACTTAATTACAGTCGAGTGCACCATTGGTGAGCAATAGACTGTATGCATTGTTGATATACCAGACTTCCGTTTCAGGGTGAGGACTTATGTGCAGTATAGAAAAGCTGACACAGCTGGTCAGAGGAAATATCATTAAATGGGGAAGATGTGTGGTCTGCTGCCACCATTTGTGAAGTGGCTGCATTAGGAAGTGTAAAACCAATATGAATGGTGTTAGTGGAATAATGAAGACTTAAAGACTTTCCTAAAAAATAATCTAACACACACAGTCATATTATGGATCTGGCATCATCTTGTGGTTGAATTGGGAAATGCAAATACTTGACAAGGCTGAAACCAACCTTATCTGCAGACTATAGATAGATAGATAGATAGATAGATAGATAGATAGATAGATAGATAGATAGATATTCCTTTATTTGTCCCACAATGTCCCCATTGAGTCTGAGGTTAAAGTCAGAGTCCAAACTGTCACTTTAGTCTCATGACATATCGCTACATTCCCTAATTTCAATAGCATTTATTTCTTCTTCGACCTTAGACCAAAATTCTGATTAAATTAAGCTGGTGATAGAGGACATATATAAAAACTTTATTTGGAGTAGTTTGTGTGAGTTTATATTGTAGTACAATGAGGAAGGCATTTGGGAAATACTCCCTTGAATACTCATTCACTGTGCTACTCTATAAATGGTAAATGCACTTTTCTGCTCTACCAAACAGTAAAAGTGCTTCACACACACATTCATACATTGATGCAGAGGCTGCTATGCAAGGTTACCTGCTCATCAGGAGCTATCCAAAGCGCTCACTATGATACTAAGGTCATCCACACACACACACACACACACACACACACACACACACACCTACGGCACAGGCATCAAGAGAAATTCTCAAGGACAGGTCTGTATCAAGCTCAATGACTGGGGTAGCCGGGAATAAAACCAGAAACCTTCAGATTACTAGATGACCCATCTACTAGTTCCACAAGTTGTCTTCCTCTATAGTTAGTAGTAAATTGAAATTTCAGACACTTTGAATTGTGGGATGGTTATCAAAAACTGAATCCCACTTGCCTTCAAAGCATGTAGGAGACACTACGGTGGCCATGAAAAATGTGAAAGACCCTATGTAGAGCCATTATTGGGTTTGTCTGTTCTGTGCATTACAATAAAAAAAAAAAAACTTGCCTCAACTCTAAAATGGTTTGCCTAAATAAATGGATCATTCCATCATTTTAAGTGTGTACAAAGTGTATTTTTACTCTAAGAATGAGCATTTATTAGTAGATATTAGATATTAGATATTATTAGATGTATTACAGAGTAATATGCATTATCTATCTTGGCTGTTTTCATGTCTTCTGTATAAGTGTGAAAAAACAGCCCTCATCAGGCAGACTGTTAATGTTGGAAAGCTGAGTTAAGTTCCTTGTCCTTGTTTTTTCTGCTATAAGTGTGATGTTGCAGGTGTGAGGAGATGGAGTGAACCAGTACCCATGGGTGCACCAAACTTGGAACATGAGACACTTGCGAAGACGAAGACAGCTGCTGCTCATGGACCATCCTGTTAACACTTAGCTGTCACTCCCACCACACAAAGACTACATGATGCTGCTCTTGTTTCTCCAGGGAATATAATGCTGAAATGATGTGATGGTTAAATAATAGCAGAAAACTAATGATTCCCTTGGGGACACTGTCAACAAAAAACAATGACTTGACAGTGACGTTGTTGACATCATTTCTGTAGAGTTTAGTTGCTCCTGATGCTCCCTTTTCACATTAAATAGGCTCTGAGTGAGTTACAAACAGATTGATTCAACAATGAAGACTTTTCATTACTGTATAGGAAGTAAACATTATAGCTACATGCATAAAATAAATGACACAAAAAAGGACTGAACACACAGTTTCTTTGTTAGGATGACAGTTTATATTGGGTGGAAACTCAAGCAAAATGTCTATAAAAACAGCTGATTGGTTGGATTATGTCACCACTACGTAGCCTTACATTAAAGATATGTGTAGAGGTGGCCATGTTGAACCGACATGTTTCTAAATTAGCTCAGAACGGACAAACCCAACTGAGACTCTACATAGGGGCGGTTCAATTTTCCTGCAGTTCGTGGCCACCACAGCTCTGCAACTACACCACTAAATGACACTAAATCCTACACACTGGACCTTTAAAATTCAATATCTGCTTGTCAACTACAGTATGGTAAGGTCAGGGAAAGATCTAGAGATGTTGCACATTCATTTATACTGATTTGAAAAATAACGTATTGAAGCAGCATTCATATTTGCTGAAACTTTCACTATATCCTGACAGTAGTACACGAGACAGATAATCTGTAATCTAAAGGCATTTGCAAGAATCCACGAGCCTGAGCAAAAACAACAAAGAATGATAGTTAACTATTATTGTTATTGTTGCTCTCAGGCCATAAAATGCTGATGCTGGAAATGAGACACATCAACTATTTTCATGCCATCAACCCAAATGATCTTTCCATCTTTCTTGGCTCTGATTGGTTGTTTTCGTTGTGGCCCAGCCAGCAGCCACATAGCTTAGTTTAGCTTAAAGACTTGAAACAAGCTAGCCTGGGTCTTTCCAAAGGTAACAAAATCCACCTACCAGCACATCTAAAGCTCACTAATTTACATGTTGTATCTTTTGTTTGTTTCATCTGTACAATAACCAAAGTGTAAAAATTACAAGAGTGTTATAGGGGGTTATAGCAGATTATTTTTTGGGCAGCCGCAGTGAGTTCCTCGCCATAAGGGTTGCCAGGCAACCAGCGGAGACTGTTCCTTTAAGCTTAATAAATAATGTTTAATGCGGGTCTGCAGTTCTGGGTCTAGTCTAGATTGTGCCCTAGGCAAGATCTGACATTGCAGGCCCCCTGCTCACCACACCTCCCCTATTTTAACTAAACAAATATGTGTTTACATACATAATAAAATGATCCTCTTTAACCATTCAAAAACAGCAGTCAGTTGAATGGTTTATGTGGAAAATGTCCTTCTGTGGGAGGCAAACAAATACACAGCCACAATTCATATACTACAGTATATAAGCAGTATTATAAAATGATTATACTGAACTTCAAATATTATTAGAGAGCAACCCCAATATGCTTTCAAGTGCATTTGGTGTTGAATTTACAGTGTAGGAAAGACACTCAGTATGTGTCTGCAAGTTTTTTTAAGCAAACAATTAGGGCTGCTGTTGATTACAGATTTTTTTCTTATTGCTTGATTAGATGGTTGCACCCAGTTCATCATATTAGGGTACATTTTCATGTACAGAACAATGCCTCTTATGTAAATAGTATGAGGCAATCACTTGA